AGAGAGAGAGAGAGAGAGAGAGAGAGAGAGAGAGAGGGAGAGAGAGAGGGAGAGAAAAGAGGTTAAAAAAAATTTAGAATGGGTCACAACTCGAAACCTCGAAATCGTTTTTTGAGCTCGAATTTCCCCTCCTCCAGATTTTTCTGATTCCCAACTATACGTGTCGATTCACCGTATCGAACAACCGTAAAGAACAATTTGCGGAACTTTCGAAAAAAAAAAATCTCTAAATCGATGCTTAAAATTCTGTTCGGAAAATTCGACGAGAGATTGATAAATATACAGATGGAGAATTTTATTCTCGATAAAAATCAATGTTTTGTTTCCCAAAGGATTCGAATTTAAAACACGCGTCTCCATAAAGAAAGAAAAAGCAAGGAAAAGAATCGAAGGAAACGAGGAGAAGAGAAATGAAAAAACGCGGAGAAAAATCGTACACTTTCGAAAAATGGGGGGGGGGAGAGAGAAAGATGCCTCCTCGTTTGGAATCGCGTCGCGGCACGGCATCGATCACCATTATCGGCTTCCTTATCTCGCCGGGCGTCACAATTAAACGAATCGGTGGGGGAGGGAGGAGGGAGGGGAGGAGGAGGACATTTTTCTTTTCTCACCGGCCGTCTTTGTATCGCGTCGGGCTTACAAAAGGGAGGAAAGGGGAGGGCGAGAGCGATCCGTGGCAACAACAAGGCCGGAAGGGAGACGGCCGGATGTAAAGGAATTCGAGCAAAGGAATCTTTGCTAATTCATCCGGGAAAAGGATGGCTCGAGGGAGGGGGGACGACGCTCTCTGATCACGCCGAAAAATTGTCCGCCGCAGGAAGGAGAAATCGGATTGCGAGCGAGGGGAACAGGAAAGTGGATAAAGTGGTGGTTGGGAGGGAGAGAGCGGAAGCGTGTTGGAAGTGTGCACGGAGTGGAAGAGAATTATATATCGCGCGCGTATGTACCGATCGAGCCGAGAGAATTAAAGATTGAGTTTTTTCTTTAATTGCGTTGAGGACTATTCGCCTATGTGGATATTCGTAGTTCGTTGGAGCGATAATAAGGAATAAGGATACGTTGTTTTTGAATATTTATATAAATAAGATAAAGATATAGATAGGTCGAAAAGATGAATTTTTGTTCGTTATATATAAGATATATTTTTTTTGAACAACAAATACGTTTTAGAATTAAATGTAATTGATCATTGAGATATTTTCTATTTTTTATTTTTTCTATTTTTTGATCATTGAGATATTTTCTATTTTTTCTATATTATTGTGTATATTATGTACAGTTTTGAAACGGAGATAATAAATTACAGATTTTCTATCCATTATTTAATTTGGCATAAAAGACAAAAGATAGCGTCTGAGAGATAATCTTTCGTGTATTAAGATGTATATTGATTTAAATGTTTCATCATAATGCACTCAATTTAATATCCGTGGATTACGAAATACTTTTACGTTGTCGTTTGAAATTTAACCACCTATTAATTCCCTGTTAGAAACATTTCCTTCTTTAATCATCTAAACTTTCAATTGCATCGAGAAAATACCATTTTGAAATACCATAATAACGAGTTCCAACAAAAAGTCAGAATTAGATTAACAACGAAAGTTTCGAAACGGCCGATTAAAAAGAAGAAGAAGAAGAAGAATCTACTTTTACTTGTATCTATTTGCGCAAAGTTTGTACAAATAATCACCCTCCTCGGAGTCGATTCCAGAAGGAATTACTCCCTTCATCTGGATCGAGGTTGCGAGCAGGGAATAACGATAAAATGAAAGTAACAAGGGAGTCGATGGTGTATCCGGGAAGAGTGAAGAAGAGACTTTGAGAGAGCGGTCCCCGGAAAAGAAGGTGGCTCTCTGCTCTTCGGGTAATAATAAATTGAAGAGAAGTCTCGCAAATACGCGGGCTTAACGTGTTCCTCGAGATGGAAGGGTGGGGCACGAAGGGGAGGAATCGAAACTTCCATTTTGACGTTTGCGCCACGGTTTAACCGTTTTCACGGATTGCCTTTCGAATAGGAGGGTCGTGTAATGAACTTTAATTACCGAAAACTGACGCGCCACGGTACGGTAATGTGCTCGTGCATTGAAATTATTATTATTCGAATGGATCGTATTCAAAAAGAAAATAGGTTCATTGTGAAACTAATTTTCGTGGAAAATATTTTAAACCCATATTTCCACTAATAATGCCTCGTGTATATATGAAATTGTTATTTGAACGGTTGGCCAAAGAAATAGGTTCATTGTGAAAGTAATTTTCGTGGAAAATATTTTAAATGCATTGCATAATGCCTTGTATATGAATAAGCCAAAGAAATAATTTTGTGATAGATATCAAGTGCATTTCATTGCATATTTTATTGAATTTGTAACTAGTTTTTTTCGAAAATTAAAATTTGTCATTTTATTTTAATTCTTATGCATTGAAATTATTACTCAACGATTGATTAAAGAAAATAGTTTCGTTGTGAAAATATTTTAAATGCATTCATATTCGTTGTGTATTGAAATTATTATTAAAAGGTATCAAGAAATAGAATTTCGTGATAGATACTTGATATCAAGTGAATTTCATTTGTAAATTTTATTGATACTTTACATTCGATTTTTCATGAAAATTAAATTTTGTCGTCTTACGCTGCTTCTTATGCAAAAATGAAATTATTACTCGTTGATCGAAGAAAATAGTTTTATCTTGAAAATAATTTTCCCGTCAGATATTCGAAAATATATTTCAAATATCTCAAGTATATGTTTCGTTTAACTCAAGTTCGATTTTTTTCCAAAAATTAAATCACATCTATCATTCCTACATTTTCGAGTTACCTTTTCGATAAGGATTATATCAGGATTTTCCATATAGGATTTATTATAGAAATAAAAAAAAAAAAAATGCGAAAGAAAATAGATTTCTCAATCTCAAAAACAACGAACGGTCACGGTTGAAACCATAAATCCGATCCTCGTGACAGAATGAAAAATATAAGCCGTGTCCATAGAAATGGCGCGATATGAA